TTGGATCGTAATAGAAAACAAATGTTGCCTCCAAGAATGGGAATGGTAAATGGTACTGTACTTGTATAGTGCTTTTCTAGTCTTCTGACACTACATGACATCATTCACCCATTCCCACACCCATTCATACACTGATGAGAGGAGAACCACACATAGTGACACCTGCCCATCAGTCACTAACATTCACACACTGTAGTCGCAGCTACAGGAGCAATGTTGGGTTAAATGTCTTGCCCAAGGACACATCGACATGCGGGTTAGCAGAGCCTGGGATCGAACCGACAACACTCTGATTGGAGGACGACCGTGCTCCCCACTCACCCACCGCTGCCCACAGAAGACATGCCAGTTGTCCTGCCTTTCATTTACAAGCTTGGCGAGGGCTCTAGGATGTGAAATGAAGCAAGATAAACCAATAATTTAGTGCCATGTATCACACCTATCATGCACTGCATACAGCAAGCAGTACAAGAGTACAAACATCTCTTTTTACCTGTATTTTAATAGGCAAGTTAATTGAGAACAATTGTTCATTTACATTCACAAAAAAACTCTGACCTTTACAAAAACCCGATAAGTAAACTTACCGTTTGATGTTGTGATTGTTTTTCTCATCCACGCCATTTGTTTGTGGATGATAGGCCGCTGTTATGCTCCTCTATGCCCAGCATCTCTGAGGTTTGTTGCGCTGAAAAAACAGGAATTATTTATAAAACGTACATAACCCCACACAGTTGTAAGTTCAGGATTGTACACGCATACTTGATTTAACAAACTCCCTTCCCTGATCCGAAAGGATTCTTTTTGGACAACCATGTCGATAGATCATGAAACAAATATGGAGTCCCACTTCTGCTGCCGTTTTTTTGGTCCGCAATGGAAATGCTTCAACCCACTTTGAAAAGTAGTCTGTGGCTTTTAGAATATATTCAAACCCATCCCCAGTTTTGGGAAAAGGTCCCGTCAAATCAATTCCAACAAGCTCCCAGACAGCAGACACCTAATGAAGTAAAACAAAATGACTTGAAAGAGGAAATAATCGGGATTTTGAGGATGTTACTCACAGTTAAAACATCGTTCACCGACAGGGTTGCAAAATATTATGGGCGTGTCAAATAAACTTGGAAAATCGACTCCATCGACGCATGCGCAAGACCACAAAGTAGCAGTTCTCAACAAGTAACAGAAAATGATAGAACACGGGCCCTGTCGGTGCCTGGAACTGAACATGGCCCAATCTGACACCAGGCCGGTACTGGACTCTCACCCTGACCCCCGGGCTTGATCTGGGCCAGACCACTGCCTCCAGCTGGGCCCATTTCCTAGCACTATTCCTAGTCTGGATCGCAATCCCATTCCTAGCCCCACCTTAACCTCTCTCATGTACCGTTTTCCCATTCCCCTCCCTGAGATCGCTGATCCGGATTCCGACTGAGCTCAGTTGGAAAGACTGACTCAAAGGGGGGCCCGAGCTGTGTGAGACTAAAGTTTTTAAATAACCATTTTAGAAGAGCTAAGAGCTTTTAATAAAAAGGTTATTCAACAAATCTATAATTAAAACATAACACCCCCCCCCCCCCCTCCAAACTTAAATTGGACTAACTGCCGCCTGCCGTTCAAATTGTCAAGCGTTTGGCCGCAACACATCTGTCGGAAGTTAACGAGGCGCCGTTGACTCTTGACTTGACGAGCTCTATCCTGTTCACCTGCACGTTAATGTTGACAACCCTGATGGCCGCGTTTATTGCACATTGCATATCCATATGACGTGTGTACAGTGCATATTCATGCGCACACACACACAATGTTTTTGCTACATGGAGGTTAAGTGTGGGGGGTCTTTTTTTTTTTTCAGCAAAATAATGCCACTGTTGACTTCTAAAAACAAAACATCACGTTGATTCTCAAATTTAGACAGTTGATATATGTAGTTTTTTTTTTTTTTTTTGCTATCCCAGTAGGAACGTACCTATTCTGTCATTACCAATCACCACCACGGGACAGTGTTCAAAATGTGTCTTAACCTACTGCTTTGCCAATAGATCCCCATTGTGGGTTGGCAGTCGTGTGTCCTCTCCCCCCAAGGATGTTTTCTGGGGGCCGGAGGCCAAACTTTGGGGTTTTTGTTATATGAAATCCACGAGATGTAACACAATTTTTAGTGTCTAAATCTCTCCGAGGTAAGGATTGAAATACCTCCTTGTAGGGCGGCACGGTGGCGTGGTGGTCAGCACTGTCGCCTCACAGCAAGAAGGTCCTGGGTTTGACTCCTTCCAGTGGCCTTTCTATGTGGAGTCTGCATGTTCTCCCCGTGTCTGCGTGGGTTCTCTCCAGGTTCTCCGGCTTCCTCCCACAGTCCAAAGACATGCTCGGGGGATCCGGTTAATTGGGGACTCTAAATTGCCCGTAGATGTGTGAATGTGAGTGTGAATTGTTGTTGTCTCTGTGTAGCCCTGCGATTGGCTGGCGACCAGTCCAGGATGAACCCAGTCGATCGCCCGAAGTTGGCTGGAATGGAGTCCAGCCCCCCCCCCCCGTGACCCTGTGTGCAGGATAAGCGGTTTGACGATGGATGGATGGATGCCTCCTTGTTCAACACCCACCTTTTGTGTTAGAATCTTTTTTCATTTCCTAGATTTAGGTTTTGAAATTGGCCTGATTATTGACTTCAACTAATAAGTGTCATGTTTGTTTCCCCAATATATATATATATATATATATAATTATATTCCTACCTACGGGAGGGTACTAGTTTCTTGATGTCCGCTGTAAGTTCGTCTATCGGACGGTAAAGCCCGGAGGAGATCAGGACTTTCGGAGATTTTTGCTCTGGAGACTAAATCCAAAGTCACAAAAATGAGAGTGAAATTTACGGGGTTTGCCACATTGTTCCGAACCCTAATCCTAACCCCTTCTCTCTAATTACGTTATTTTGATAGATTTTCAGAAAAATAGGGAAAAGCCCGGAATCAATCCGGGCGTTGGATTTAGTCTCCACCGCTAAAATCTCCAAACACCTCCCGAGGCCGGGAACGGCCGAATTAAGCCTGGAAAACGATGCTGGACTACTTTCCCAATCACCGCCAATATAGCTTCATTTGATGCCTCAAACCCCTAATCCTAACCCTCCAAAAACCAAAAAAAGAGAAAAATACAAAAACATTTATTAATGGCCGACCTCTGTTTTGCCCCTTGACCTCCCCACAATCATTAGGGTACTTTTACTTGGAAAGGTGTATCCATTTGGCTCCTCTCTGGATTAAACCTGAAAGTTAATTTTTTATCAAATTCTACCAAGAGAAACCATACAAGAGGTTTTATTATACATTCCTTTTACAAAACACATTTTATTTACTGTTTATAATGTTTATTTTATTCCTTGTTAAAAGTAGTATTCTCGTACACAGACTAAATATTTTATATACAACAGTCTTGAATACTCACCCCAGATACCTACCGTTGGACTTCTGACCACGTTTTAACATCATACAAGGAATAAATCGGACATAGATCTTTTTTAGTCTTTTGGAGAAATTGTATTCCCCTTTCCCACCCTTTTTTTTTACCTACCATCTTCACCTGATGTCTCATAGACACTGTGTTCCACTCTCGGGCCCCCCTAGAAGATCCTTCACTGGCAGCGACCTGTAAACAAAACAAACAGGAGAAAAAGTACTTCAAACTACTTCAAGCCGTACACCATTTGGAGGTTATAGAGGAGAGCCAAGCCTCTGGGGTTCCTCCCAGGGGCATGATGAGGCAAGTCATCAAACTGACTGCATTTATCAGGCCCTCATCCCCCAATGACAGCACTGCCTCCAAAAAAATAAAGGGAAAACACCGAGAGAAGCATACAACACAATATGGAAATTTTAAACATACATTACCAAGCGGTGATTATGGTGGGCCTACACAACCTACCTTTTAGCCAGGTGGCCTTTGAAAAGGCGAACGCCTACGGCAAAAATAGGTATAAAAAACAACTCCGGCTCCACCATGGTGAAATTCAAAACACTAATGTGGTGGAGCACAAACCGAAGCCGACAGGCAAGCTCTTGTGGACCTCCAATGGGCGAATTGGAGGGCTCCCATTCCGACCGATTCTGGGTCTTCTCCAGAACCCCCCACTCATCCTAGTGGGGGTCTCAGTGGTTGACCCGGAAATGTAGAGATAGAAAGATTTAGGGTTTGCAGCTGTGTTTGGGGAAGGGGGTTAACTTATTCTCACAGACTTTCGATCAGAGGAGCATTGTGTGTTACCCTCAGCTTCACCTGTGTTCTTATCTCAACTTGATTTGTGGCTTCCCGTAACTGGCGCTAAGAACTGTCTTCAAGTGTATAAAAACTCAGCGTTTTTACTGCTCGGACGTCATTACACAGAACGCTGGAATACGTGCTGGTGTGTTGGACCTCCTGCTTGCAAGCAATAGTTAGAGCCAGATATCTGCGGAGAATTGCTCATGCTCTTTTTCTCTTCTAAATAAAAGTTAACTTTGAATTGATCAACGTGTGGCGATCCTTCTCATCAACCAACTCGGGGGGGATCGGAGATCCCGACAGGTCCCAGGATACACCCAACAACATCCCAAGAAGCGATCCATTGGAACCTAAAACCAGTGGAAACCATTGTAGTGTTCGGATCAAAATATATCCAATACATCCCCCCCCCACTCACAACAGGAGATCCAATTGGACAGCTTCCCGAAGGCCAAGATCCACCATCTTATAGGAGTTTTGGAGAAACTCAGTCGTTGCTCTTCTGTCCAGCTGGTAGTTCTCTCTGTGGGAATAAACAACCTCCATGTAGACGTACAAATCACAACGATTAAGGAGCAGCTCCGGAGGTTGTTCAGACTCCCAGAACATTCCCGGAGGCACGCATTATCATGGCACCTGTGCAAAACTACAAAGAAATCCCTCCAGATATACAGAAACGATACAAACAATTTGATACATACCTGAGAGAGGATGCTATAGAGGTCCTCAAACCCATCGAGAAGGACCTCTTCCGAGTAGATACACGGGACCCCCGCAATGGACTACGAAAACGGCAGACCACATCTTCCAGGATTGGCTCCATCAATTGGCCCAGGACTACAAGATGGATTTCATTATTGACATCCCAGAATGCAATCCACAAACGACTTTCACATATACAGGTTTTTCTTAATCATGGTCTTTTTAGGTTTTATACGAAGACTTTATATGATTTTTAATCATGGTCTCTTAAAACCTCTATTAAAAAGCTTTATTATGTGGACTCACCTGGAGATAACACCTGTTTTAAACCATGAATTATTTTAACACAAACTTGTAAGCAACCTGTGTTACAAAACAAATTGTGAGCCCATCTGTAGCCGGCGCGGTCTGTGCCTCGCCAACTACTGCGTTGTGTTGAGGTGCACTGATAACGGGACGCTGACATTCCCTTAGGCACTTTATTCTGCAGAAATCAAATAAAAACATGGACATGATTCTTCTCCGTACACAACCAGTAACCTCCCCTCAGCCACCGGTGAGCAGACTCACAGTTGAATTACATTCTTTCAAAAGCATAAAACAAAATACAACAAATAAAAATAACTATGGAGAAAAAAATGTCCGGATCAAACTGTTTTCTCTCCGATCACATTGCATATATCTTCTATTCACACATAGACTACAACATAAATACCTACAGGAGTACACCACAATTGTCGGACTTCCTAGCGTAATACATATAAATGAACATCACATTTGCTGAACATGGTAATAAAATAGAATAAAAGTACATACCTGCAGAAATCAAATAAAAACATGGACGTGATTCTTCTCCATACACAACCAGTAACCTAATACAAGAAAAAAAACACTGAAACATATAGGCTACCCGCGTGGAGACAAGTGCGAAAGCTAACAACGCATGCACGAAAGCAAAGTGGTTAGCTAGCTATTGCAACGTCCCATTATTCACCTCAAATATACATTAAAAACACAAAACCACTCGTCCCATATGCCCTTACAATATTACACATAAAGAAATGATCAAGTGTACCTCAACAGACAGTGAAATACATTAATTCGGTCTTAATGCTCACGTTGCGTACGGTACGTACCTCCCATCAGCCACCGGTGAGCAGACTGACGAGGGCACGCAATGCCAGTCAAACAATACACTCTACCCACAAGAGGGTGCTGTTACACAAAATAATATAACTCCTAATACCAAAGCTAATTATATACAGGACAGAAAAAGGATTTGAGAAATCACAGTAACTTGAACCAAACCCAATCGAAAACAAAAAAGATTTACCCTTGCACTAACTCCTCATCACTCTCCAACATAAATGCAGCCGCCTCCAGAAATGTCTCTGGTGAAGGAGACGACCGCACCAATGCTCCCCCGCTCTCCCTCATCCAGACGGGGTCCCTCAACCAGGTGGAGCACACGCATGAACAGGACGTGGGCCCCTCCACCTCCTCGCCACTGCAGGACCAGGGTGGAAAGGATCGTCCTATCCTTTGGCATTTGCAATAGAATCCAGAAAACGGCCATCAAACAACTCAGGAGCATGATCAAGCTGGCGAAACATAACTTTCCCCTGTCAGATCTATGTTCCACAGATCAACTTCTCCAAGAACCTGCCGACAAAGGAGAACCTGCGGCTGTCCCACCTCAACTCCTACAATGCGGTTCTGGGTGAGGTGCATTCCCATGCTACCCACAGCTAAACACTGGTCTCGATAATATTCATTGGACGACTGAAACGGCCAAAAATATGCTGGCCCACTGGGCGGCTCATTAAAATAATTATCCCCAGAAGCCTGCCGCCACAGGAGGGGAATAAATCAGTTATCAATTTAACTCAAAATGTTAAATTTACGGCGGAACAAATTTCTCTTCTCACGCGAGGTTTAAATTTTATTCCCACTAAAGTGACCAATAAGGACATTCTCCCACAAACAAAATTTGACATCCAACAATATCATAGGAGATTAAAATTAACAGCCCATTATGATGGAGCACCTCCAACAATCCGCCTTCCGCCTAAATTTGCCCCAGCGTATGCAAATATCTTCATGGCTGAATGGAAGGCTTCAGCCCTGTAAGCCTGCGTTAAAAAAACGCTGCACTACTACCGGTATTTAGATGACATCTGGGGGGTGTGGACCCACAATGAGGAAGACTTTAAAAACATTTTTAACCACAGGGAGTTAATTAAAATGAAATCCACCAGCAGCCTCACTTTTAAAGGTAAAAACAGAAAAATCTGATCCTTGATATTAAAGTATTTTTCAAAGAAACAGACATGCACGTCCTGCTGTATAAGACCAGCTTCCATCCTAAGCATACCTAATGCAGGCCTCATTAAATCATAACTGCTCAGATTTAGCAGAATCTGCAGACCAGGATGATTTTTGGAAGGCGGTTAAAATCCTTTTCCGGGCGCTAAAAACAAGGGGGTACTCCAGATCCTTCTGTAGGAGAGGCCTTAAAACCTTCCTGAAAAAGAAACCAATTTCACTTACTTCCAATATCCCACTCATTACCACGTACTCACCTTCAACTATGAACCTCTCCAATCAATTTAGAAACAATTTTATCAATGGCATTACAGGGTCGCTGATACTACAAAACCACAATATAATCCCGGCCTACAGAAGAAATAAAAATCTCCAGGACTTTCTAGTGAAAGCTAAATTGCCATCACTCTCTAAACCTAGACTTAAATTTAAAGATTTTTTTAAACATGAACGTTGGTTCAACAACAGCAGCATGGGAGAAGTGTTTCAGACGCTCAATCATGGTGACCCTGCCACAAAAAATGTTATGTTCTCTAATGTATGTGGGTGTGACAGGGAATGCACTCGCCACCCGCATCACACAACACCGATGCAACATCACCAAAAAGAAAAAAACAGCCATACCATTGGTCAAACATTTTCTACTTCATGGATGGTTTTCCCTGTCTGCTACAATAGTGCAGTGTGACGACAGGTGGACCACGACCCAGAGGAGGACGGCAGAGAGGACGTGGATCTCCAAACTGGGAACAAAAGACCCACAAGGCCTAAACGAAAGTTGAGGACCTCGCAGCAGGGCCTGGTGATGGACAGCACACCGGGGGCGGTGTTGTCTCACACAGCACCTCCACCAAAACCCCAACCCAACCGCCACAAGCCAGTTATCGCTTGACTCCAGAATCGAGGGCCCTCTCGGGGGCCCCGCTTCACCGGGTAAGTGGAAAAACGATAAGAGTAGTGGTATTTCACCGGCGGCCGCGAGGGTCTCCCACTTATTCTACACCTCTCATGTCTCTTCACAGTGCCAGACTAGAGTCAAGCTCAACAGGGTCTTCTTTCCCCGCTGATTCTGCCAAGCCTGTTCCCTTGGCTGTGGTTTCGCTAGATAGTAGGTAGGGACAGTGGGAATCTCGTTCATCCATTCATGCGCGTCACTAATTAGATGACGAGGCATTTGGCTATTTTAAGAGAGGAATAAACGGCCCCGCCGAAACTAGTCCAGGGGTTTCACCCTGCCGCCGCAGGGGCGTTCTCACATGCAGCGCCTAGCGGGGGTTGCCCCCCAGCGCCAACGCGAGCTCCATCGTTTTACGAATCTGGGTCTAATGACCCTCGCCCTGGTCCTGACTGCTCTTCCATAGGTCCGGCTGACAACCCCTACCGTAGGGTCTCGAGTTCCGGCGGGACACGTTTCCTCGAAGTGGCTCTAAACAGAGAGCGAGATTCCTGGGATGATCACTTCCAGGTGAGGGTGCTCTGTCTGCCACCCCCATAGCCCCTGGCCTATGTGCATACAGGATGACAATTGAACTAGCGACCCCACGCCGACAACCACGGATACTATCCAACTCTGCCACCGCCGCAAAAACTGTTCTTACCCGGGACGGCTTAAGCTCCACACAGTGCGTCACGAGGCCCCCCTCGCTGCCCATCGATAGGGTGTGCCCAGGGTAGGTGCAATACCTATTTCTGCGAACCAGCCCGGGCGGGCTTCCAGAACCAACTAGCACCGGCCACCAGGATGCAGCCCCTGTGTTGTATGGGTGTGACGACGACTGCCGGAGCCCATACACCCGTTCCTACAGCCGTGCCGAGGTCCCCACCTCCCCTACCCCGGCTTAGCGATTGCTTATGTCACCAACCTCGCTACATACAGTACAGAGTTCGTGCATGTCTAGTGGAGTATCCATGAGGTCCCCCGTGGGGTGCGCGACACCTGTGGCGGGCATTGCTGGTTTCGGCTTCCCCAAACCAGGTTAGGATACAGACACACAATAGGCTTGTTCAAGTTGCCCTACCCGGTCTTAGAGGCGCGGGTCTGCTGAGCAGCACAGTCATGTAACCCCTACCTGTCGAGGCCCACCCTTCTGTGCAGTCAGGGGCGCAAACCCTTCTACAAACAGACAAAAGCTCTTTGGGTCCCCCCCAATTAGGCACAGGTAGCCTAGAATCAGGTCTGAAACGGGGGGGGGGGGGCCTTCGGGTCGGACTAGAGTCCTACTCCCCTCCTTACCGCATGGTAAGGCAAGGTCCTCATTATATCCAGAGAATACAAGAGAACTCTGCGGCTCAAGAGTTCAGCGAAGCTCCGAGTCTGAGCTTTGCTCAGGCCGAGGTCGGCGAACAGCAACTCGTTCTTAGTCGGCCACTTGCCCCTGGCTCCCAGCGTGAAGCCGTGGACCGTTACCTTCCTTGTTCGGGCCCTGCTCGCCCTGAGTACCGGAAGGAGAGGGCGGTACTTGGTTTCCTTTTCGATTTGCGCGCGTTCCAACGACTCATCGAATTTGTACCGAACAGTTACATCAATTATGATTGCCAGCTCATACAGCCAGCAGATCATATCCGGCGCCATGACCTTTCCTGATGGTAGTGTCCAACGCTTCTCCCTTTCCACTTCCCATCCATGGCGCTCTGTTTGCGCAACGAGGACCTGGCACACCCTGTGGTGCCTCTGGATACGGCACAGCTTAACCTTCGGGCAGAGTGCAATGATGTGCCATCAAGTCTCTGGGGCCTCCCCAGGGCCTCGACAGCTGACATCTACCGTATCCGTCCTTCCGCGACCCACCAATTCACGGGTTGGGTATAAATTTGCCCTGAGCTGGACGGCCGCCGTAAAATCTCCTGACTTCAGCTTGTTTGGCGGGTAGTTGGTCAACCAGCAGTTGCTGACCTCGTCCGCTTCGAACATCCGAATACCCTTCCCTTGTATCAGCTGGTCCGCCAATCTATCGAACTCGAGCCCTCCACCAGAACCGGCCCTATCTCCGGTACCTCATCTGGCGACCCTCCAGCACTCAGCCATGCCCTCTCAAACACTTTGGTATCAGTAGTTATTTGAGACATCCACCTGACCATCTCGTCTTTTGAACGAGACAGCCCGAGGAGCCTCCTGGCCTGTATGGCCGGTACAATCATCGACATTTTCGGTATTCCCAGTCCACCGCTGGACGTCCGTGAGTAAAGGAGACCGTTTGTGGTGCACCTAGCCAGGTGCAGCCACCTCTTTACCGCCCGCCTTATGTTCAAATCCATTTCTGTCCGGGCCTTCGCAGACAGCATGCAGTGGTCAGCCACGAAGATCACACTCTGTACGGCGTACCGGCACAACAGGGACAACTTGTCAAGCGGATCCAATGGTGTCTTGGAGATTGCAGCTACCCACTGTCGTAGCTTGGCAACCATATCCTCAGTGAATATCCCTGTCCACGGGTTCACCTGGACCCCCAGGTACCTAACTGATTCCTCCAGCCCTATCATGTGAAGAGCTATTCCATTCAGCAGCCACGACTCGCACCTGTTCACTTTGTACGACCTGCTGCCACTCTTCTCTATTAGGAACCCGTGGCACTTACTGGGCTGGGTGCGCATTCCAGTAAGCTCGCAAAAATCCACCAGGATATCCAAGTTGGCTCTCATGCCTTCCCAAGAGCCACTCACTATGGCCAAGTCATCCGCAAATGCCATCGCAGTAATGGACTTCCCATTCACTGGGAAGCCCCGGCCCTCGCGTTCAAGTTGCTGGATAAGCGGATCCAGCGCCAGGGTAAAGAGGAGAGGGGACATGGAGTCGCCCTGCTTCACTCCCACCTTCATGGTGATGTCAGTGGAATGACCCTGCTGACAGAGCACCTTGGTCACACAGTCCTCGTAGGAGTTTTGGATCAACTCCATCATGTGATGGTCCAAGCCTTTCTGCACCAGAATACTCAGGAGGTGCTCATGGGAGACAGTGTCGAAGGCCAGTCAACAAACACCACCGCAAGGGAGCCCTTTCCTGCCTTGCTGAAACTCATGCCACCTTCTAGAAGCAAGAGGTTTTCTGAACAACCTGGAGAGGCAATGAAGCCCCTCTGCCGCGGGTGGCTTGGCGAGGCCACTGTCATCCTTTCCGTCAGGATCCACAAGTAGAGTCTTGGGACCAAGGATGCAATGGTTATGGGCCTCCATTGACACACGTCACGCCACGTCATGTAGACTAAGGTCCCCGGTTTTTGGAATCGGTGTTGTTTGACACTTTTTAAAGACCTTAGGGATGCCACCCGAAACCAACAATGTTGAGTACATGTGGGCCAATTTAATCCCCTTCGGGTCCCATTTGGACAACATGGTTTTTACTGATACCATCCGGGCCAGGGGAAGAATGGTTCTTGATGGATTTCAGATGAGCCCTGACTTCGGCTGGGTCTATCAGCTTCCCAAAGACTTTATTCTCCGCAGTACCGTAGCCCTAGAACTGACCCAGACCCAGGAAGGATCTGGCCACGCTCTACCTTTCCCTGAATACAGCCGAGACTTCTACGAGTGGAATGGGGCAGGTCGTCCCCACATGTCCATCCAGGACAAACGTAGCCAACCTGGCTTTCCCAAGACGGGCCAAGCGGTACAGGAACCCACGCATCCGAGCCCTTCTCCTGCTTCGCTCGACCCCCAACCCAGGCGGGCGCCCAAGGACCCGTCTTCTGCCGGAGCGGTCCATTGCCTTTCGACCCAGCCTTCTGATAAGATTGAGAGAAGTCGCCGCAACTGCCCCCTGACGGCAATCGTCTCTCCGGACGATCCTTGCTGAGGTGCTGCCTGTGTTACCACCCTCTCTCGGCACCCGCTTCCCTAGCAGGGCCCACAGGACCCCTCTGATTCCGTGAACCTGTTACTCGCTTCTGCTCGCTCCGCGGCAGCAGCCTCAATCTGCAATTTTCATTGCCGAATGGCCTCCAAACACGTGGCGACATTTCGACCTGACCTGACGCTGTGTTTTACCGGTACCCAGGTAGGCTGCAATACCAACGCATCTCGACGGGGGGGGGCACGCCTTCCTCACAAAACACGGCCAGCTTTTTGGTTTCCTCAGTCGACCATAAGCGTGTAGCAGTAAATTCAGCACGACGTTCCCCCTCACGCGGACCTGCCCCGTCGTACTCGGCCAGATGAGCCGCACGCATATGCAACGAGCGCCCCGCTTTCTTCCCGAAGACCCTAGGACAGTAGTCACACTGGAAACCATCCTCTGACGCCCAGGGGGGAGTATTTCCCCTGACACACTCCCGCGAGCATGTCTCCACCGGGCGCCATCGCAGCGGGGACCCATCACACACACCTGGCAAGGACCCCAACCGGGCCGCCCGGATTAGGAGGCTGTAGCTTACTGATCGCGTTCACATCGCCACCCACGCCCTGGTCAATCGATTGGCCGACAAAGCTGGTTTCGAACGGCAGGGATTGCTGCATCCCAGAGCTCCTACTTCCGCTTAACTCTGGCAGCGACCCCTCGATCACCGCAGCCTGCCCACTTCCTTCATGCCCTCTCGAGCACGGGGCAGGGCAAGGTATTATTACATTACATGTATAGCGGACATTTAGCGTACGCTTTTATCCAAAGCGACGTACAATAAGTGCATTCAACCATAGGGTACAAACTCAGGAGAACAAGGAGGAGTGCAATTTCCTCAAATAAGCCAATTTACAAGTTACAAGTACAATTTTTAAGTGCTACAATTTGTTAGTCTTTAGTCGAGGTAGAGTCTGAAGAGGTGTGTCTTTAGTTTGCGGCGTTTGCGCTCCTGGTGTCTTCAGAGAGCTCGTTCCACCATTTTGGGCGCAGGACAGCAAAGAGTCGTGATCTAGTCGAGTGTTTTGCTCAGTGAGGGAGGAACGAGTAGTTTTGCAGATGCAGAGTGAAGAGTGCGGGTTGGGATGTAGGGTTTGACCATGTCCTGGATGTAAGCTGGACCCGATCCATTCACAGCATGGTCAGTGAGCACCAATGTTTTGAACTGGATGCGGGTAGTCAGTGAAGAGAGCGGAGGAGTGGAGTAGTGTGGGAGAATTTCGGAAGGTTGCATAGCTGTGGTAAGAAGCCATGCGAGCGAATGACGGCGCCAAGAGAGTTGGTGTAAAGAGAGAACAGGAGAAAATGAAGATTCAATTCTGGATTGGTAGAAAAAGCTTTTGGCAGCAGAGATAGAAGCAGAAAACGAGGAGAGGTAGGTAGGATTACCATTTGGTTTCCTTACCATCAACCGTGTGCGCTTCTTTGGGTTATCAAATTCGACTGTGGGAACGCAACCCTTCCTCCTACTCCGCGTAGAAGGCCCCGCCAACTTGGCATTCCCCTCGGGGCCAGGTCTTGAGGACGCACTCTCACCATCCACCAACAAGTGGCCAGAATGGGCTGCAGAGACTGACTCGCTCCGGACCCTATCCCCGGAGTTAGTCGTCATCCACAGAGAAGATGAGCTTGCCTTGACTTCGGTAACACCCTAGGCGCAACGCTCACTCCACCTCCCTACTCATGCGATGAGCCCCGTCCAGGTCTGAAGTCAACAGCAGGCCGTGCAAAGCACCCTGCCACAAGCGGGCTTCACAGGGGTCTTCCGGCCGGAAGCCCTGTTACTTGCGTTCAACTCCGTCAGATCGCCCCTCCAGCGATTCAGGGAGACGGTCAGCCGACAAAATCTACGGGATCCGAGAGGCGTCAGCCCCCCTCCCCCGAGACCTTTTGGATTCCGGAACCCTGGGCTGCTGGAGCCTCCTTCAACCGCAAATCGATATGGCCTAGGAGACAACAGGCCACCGCTGAGTCGCTTCAACCATACCATCAGCCGCCTTAGCCCCCAGGCCACAGAAGGAGAAGACCCTCGCGACCCATGCCAAAGCCACCGACGCCCGGCCCCACTTCCCAGGACCTGCGTGCCCCTGAGAGAGGCCATCGCCGCACCTCCCCCCTGGAGGTGCCACGCCTGGCCCGCACCCGCGGGGGGAGTACCAACGCCTCCACGCAACATCCGTACGCCCTTGTATACAAACCTGTACAATATACAGTCTGTATAATGTACAGTCTTTAACTGCAATTCATCACTTTGTCGTCACTTTGTCACTTGTCTGTTACTTGTTCGTTAGTGCACTTTATGCTCAATATTTTTCTTAACTTTTTAATATTTAATTTTTAACTTAATCTCACTTTTCATGCAGTGAATATTCGTCCCCTGTAAACGCCCGGAAATCTCCCTAATTTCCTACAATTCGCAACCCGCGCACGTCGCGTTTGTCTGTGCCACAAATTGTCGGAAACGAACCATGACGTAGGTGGAGAGCTGGCGAATGGCCCGAATTAGCATATGAATGCAGCGAAACCACGGGTGGCTGAGCGGGCTTGAATATCCTTACTCCTTATTGGAGGAAACCTTAACTTACTAAAAAATAAAATCACTCGTGATTGGCAGCAAAACCTCTCGATTCCAGCAGCTGTAAAAACAACAATGAATCAGTACTGTGCGACGCGTACGGACACAACACATCTATCAATGCACCTGAAAAAAGTCAGCAAATAAACTCTGACCGTCTTTCTTCTCGCTCGACTCCGCGCTGAATCCTTCGCAGCTTCCGCTCGCAATGAGTGTTCCGCCTGAACCTGAAGCTCCTGCGTCCAGTCTCAAAATACGTCTCACAGGCGGCTGGAAAACAATTAAATGAGTGTGGTATGAATACAAAAAGAAAATCAAACTCAAGTCACAGTAACATTTAACAAGGAAGGAGAAACTGTCACTTACACACAATGACGTTGTCTAAATCTGGACTTTTCCCGGAGCAAATACGAGGTCACCGCCTCATTATGAGGCGAGATTAGTCTGTGAAAACAAAATGTACAGTTATGATCGGTATCTATACGTATACATTCCCTTATAGCGCAGAATGAAAGCATATTCTTTAAATCTTACCCTTGCTCCGGTTCGTAGCGCCTGTAGTTCGTCTCGGAGATGTGAAGACGGCGCACCGCTTCCTTTAAACGACACGGCAAAGAAAACACACTTTAATAAAGCTGTTTCTGCTCACTTGTAAGGCTACTAGGCTACTCTTAGCTTAGCTTGCAGTCATCGAACGTATTCTTACCGCTATCTTGGGATTGTGCGCCCGTCTCCTCTTCTTTGAGTCGGTTCCTCTCCTCCATGGACAGAAACCCGCAGAGTCCCGAACGCTTCAGTGGAGCGAACCGCTCGTTGATATCGGCAGTTTGTTGTTGGCGTTGACGATCTACTGAGAGCATTCAGCAGCTTCTTCTCGTCTGTCTGCGGACTGGCCGAAAGTTGGTGACCGCGGAGAGGAGTTGAAGGCGAGTTGAACGCGAGACGTCGTCCAGCCATTATTCACGAAGCAGCAAAAACCAAACAAAGGAACTGGAGATACAGTTCTTCTGTATGTTTGCATGCACGTCTTGCAAGTACTGCTGTATCCGTCATGCCTATGACCTCACACATGATTGGACGAGGAGTCTTAAGGGTCCTCCAATCACATACGAGGTTATTGTTATACGGAAGGACCAGTATTTTAGGAAGACAAATGGTTGGGACTTTGAAACAGCTGATATGCTTTATGTAAAGCAGTGTTTTGGTGTCAGCAGAACGACTTTCCCTAGAAAACTGTACAGTGGTGCCTCTTTCTCCATTCCACCAGACACTCTTGGATGAGTCTGACATACATGCAATGTTGACAATGTATCATCAGATGTACCCTTGTGTCACTAAGGTTGAATGTTTTGCCATGACATGTAAACTGGTAACATATATGAATGTAACTTACTCAATCGATAGATGCAGAGCAGAAAGGTCAGAGTATGTTCATGCTAAGTGGTGTGGAAACACTAACAGTTTTGAGGAACCCGTCCTTGACCCTCTAGCAGAACTACGACCAGCCATATAGTTGTTAATGTTG